TCTTGGAAAGATATATTGAATCTCTTATAGCCTTTTTTTTTTTTTTTTTTTTTTTTTTAATATGGCTTTGTTCTTAGCAAGATAGCATTAAAATCTAATTGCCTGGATGCCGCCGCTGACCTATGTACTTACAAGCTATTCTTGATGAGTTATGAAAGGTATTATGTAACTTGGTTTCTAGTGACAGCAGTGGATTGGACTCAGTGTCACATCAGGTCCCTTCCAGTGCTCTGGCCCTTTCTTCTTAATGAGTTACATACTGTGTAGTATGTCACCATTTTCCTCAGTATCATTTAGGAACTGTACTTCTTTCAAGTAGTATGTGTTTATTGTACAGCATAGGCATGTATGTTATAACATAATACCATGATATATTAAGAATCAGGCTGAAATCTTGACTTTATCCTATATTTGAGAAACCTGAATCTGTACTTAGTGATCTAGTGAATGTATTTGCAGACCGAAGCTGAAAAAACCTACAATTGCTAATGAATTTAGTGATATTCTTAATATTCAACAGTTCTGAAGTAAGGATAGTTTTACTTTGATGGCTAAGCCTGAAATGTTTACCAGGCATCTGTGTAATGGATGATTTTACAGAAGGTTACTATCACCTATATACAAACATTTCTTCTTAAAAGAAAAAGCTCAAATGTGCTTTGCTTGTTCTGCTCTCATTTCAATGTGCAGTCTCTTTATTTAAAATACTTTTTCACTGATTAGGTATTGTCATTTCTGTTTCATGCTTTTCTAGGCAGTGTTCACTGATTTGGAGATTCTTGCAGCAATTTTTGCCAGTGCAATACATGATGTAGATCATCCGGGGGTTTCAAACCAGTTTCTTATCAACACAAGTAAGTGTGACCTTCTGTGGTTTTCTCATAGATTTGCTGCCAGATCTGCACATTCAGCTCATTTTCATTTGTACCTTTTCTCAGGAAACAGATAGGTGTTTATATTATTTTGCACTATTTGTAACCTTAGTAATAGTCTATACACTATTCTATCGCAAGAATTGCTAGGGGGTCACTAGGGTTGAACTCAATATCATACAGGCACTATTTCGGTGTATTGCATGTGATCCCTTTCCTGGAACTTTGGGAACTTTGTAAGGTTTGCATTAAATTAATAAATAAATTTGTAGGAAAAAATGGAGAATGATTATATAAAATATCAAAAAAGATAACAATTATTATGTTTATACTGATATTAGAAAGCAGGTTACTTTTTAGAAAACAGGTGATCAGGCCCATTTCTGTCTCTCCATGGTTGCTGTAGTAGTTTTCTGGCCTCTGCATAGCAGTTCAGCTTCTTGGACTGAATTTTCGATGCCTCTTTATGCAAGCTATGGCAAACACCTTGTTTCTTTTGTGTGTTTCTTGCTCCGTATATGGAGAAGAAAGCCCTGATGAAACAAATTCCTAATGCCAACTTACAAATTTGAAATTTGGTGGGCTTGTGCTGTGTTCCTCTAGGCTGTTTTCTGCACCATTGCATGAACCACTTCCTCTCCTCTAATTTTCTACTAGAAGAAAAGCTGTATTAGCTTCGTTGAACCTGATCATGACACATTTGCTAAAAGGATTGTTGCCCCAGTGTAACCTGCTTTGATATCAGTGGTGTATTTGCTATTTTAAGTGGATACTGTGTTGTAGGTCAGGGCAAGTTTTGTCATATTTTATTATTTTTCTTTGGCTATCCCAACTTCTGCTTTTATACTAACTGGTCCAAAACTACAGAAGTTGAAATAATATTAAGAACCCAAACACATGAGAATAAAAAGCTTCACAAATGGAAGCATACCTAGGCCTGCAGATTTGACTTACCTGCTTACACATTTATAGAGTGTCATTTCTTCACTTGATTTAATCTACTGCACTGCTGCTAAAATAGCATGACCTGAAACGAGCAGTATAGTTTGAAGAAGGGAGCTCCTGGTCTGACTCGCTGCTCCTATACGTTCAAATAAGACCTTCAGTCTTGTCTGCATCTAATTTTATTTGCTTTAATGGCCTGAGGGCTACCCTCCAGTGATATTCAATGTGATGACTCATCTGGAAGGAGGAGGATTGGGATTCTCTAGATTTCAGGTTCTGTACTGATAAAGAGTACAGTTCTGCAACAGGAACAGAGTCAAATGAGTCTTGTACAGCAAACAGTGCATAATATATGGATTTCTAAGATGTAAATAAAAGCTTTTTCTCTCTTTGGTCAGAAATTGAATAGCAGAATATATTGTTGCCTTTGAAGTGCTAAGAGGAAACCATTACGTTACCATTAAGTTGCTAAGTGTAAACAAGATGAAGGGACCAGCAGTGATACTTGAAGCTTTTACTTGTAGACCGGTAGTTCAAATTCAGCCAAGACAGGCAAGGAGTCCGTGTGATTGACACACCTCACTAATTGGTACTGTTGTCAACGAGCTAGAAAGAGGCAAAGAGATTTTATCCCTTTTGAGTTGTTAGGTGCACAAAGAAGCTGAAAGGACAGAAATGGAGATAAAATCGACCTCACTTAAATGTATTTAGCTTTCTAATATCTACCAATTTCAATGAAAATTTAAAATTCAATGTACACCTGGCTTTTACAAAAGTTACACGGGGAATCTCTCAAGCCCCAAATTTTCCTAGCCTATGGAACATTTTTTGCTTCCATCTAATTCTGTGTTTTCCATTAATCCCTACAGTGTATTAACTTTTTAATTAAATTATTACTAAGAAGTACAATACATAAAAAGTAGTTGACATAGTTGCCTAAACAACATACATATTTGCCACATTTCAGCTTATTCCTTGTACTTTTCATAATGTGATATTTCCAAAAATTATTTCCTCATTTCAGGATTTAAAGCCTGTTTACACAGTTATCTAAAAATCAGATCCCTCTTAAATAATATTAAAGAATAAACAAATAGAGATTGTTTTAGCAAAATGAGATGCTTATTTGATTATTGTAAGTCTGTCCTTCCTGACAAATACTCTTGAGCCTTGTAAAATGTTCTGGAGATTGCCAAGGAGGATTTTTCTTCTATTTCCACCTTCATTCAGAACTGAGAAGCAAAAAAAAAAAAAAAAAATCAAGTAAGCAAGCTTCACAAGTGTTCTGTGGAACATGAAGACAATAGCAAATGCACATTGTTTTTTTCTGTATGCTGTTATAGCTTTGCTGCCATCAGGATGAGGAAAGTAGAGGAAGGATTTCCTGATTTACAAGATTGACATGCTCAGAACAGGGGGGAAGACAGCAGGAGATTGCATAATGGGACTCATGAAATCTGGAGAGGGGAGCTTTTACTGCCACCTCATTGAGCCAGCGGGATTCTGAAACAAAGCTGCTGTAAAAGAAGATAATGAGGACTAACAGTAGAATAGACTTACATGTGGCCACACTTAGAAGAGCCGTGGTAAATAGAAATTAGTGTCAATACATGACAAGTGTGATTGCATATGAAATATCTTTCTTTGATGACAAATCCATTTGCAAACCTTGTCTTTAAAACCCAAACAAGCTGATTATGTGAATGCAGTCCAGGTCTGTACAGGTACACTGCACAGGTGTACCTGTGTACAATCTAAATATATACCAAGCAAAAAATCTTAACTGCACTTATTTTGAAATCTAGCTGTTGAATGTGCCTCGGTAGACAAATGCAGATCTTGCTTTTACCTTAGTATGAGCATTGCTGTGATAGTTTGTTATTCCCACTTATTCCCAGAGCCATACAGTATGGCCCAGTTAAGAACACTTTTGTGAGAAAGGGCAACATTATAGCAGCAGTTCTTGATTGCACTCAACTTAAGTATGAGACAAAAGGCAAGGCCGCTACTGACATTCTCTAGCCACATGACTTTCCAGGAAAAAGATGAAAAGTTTAACTGTTACTGTCTTATCAACCTCCTCTCAAAATAACTTCTTGTCATAATGACCCCTAAGGCCTAATTTGTACACATATGAAAAAGAGTTCTGAAAATACCATCCTAGCTTGTCACTGCAGGCCTGTGTACATTCCAGCTGCAAAGCTTTCTTTTTTTGTTTTCCTCAAAACACTTTGCCTTGATTTGTTAAGATGTTCAGCCATTAATATTGTAGCTTGTGCTCTGATGTGAACTACAGAAATTCTGTTTCTAAAAGCTCATCTTTAAATCTGTTATGAACATAATGAATCTGAAAAATCATAAGAGGTGTAATGGAAATGCAGATTTTGGTAACATTCTGCCTTGTGACTGTTATTGCAGATTCTGAACTCGCCTTGATGTACAATGACTCATCAGTCCTAGAGAATCACCACTTAGCTGTGGGCTTCAAGCTGCTGCAGGAAGAGAATTGTGATATTTTTCAGAATTTGACCAAAAAACAGAGGCAATCATTGAGGAAAATGGTCATTGACATTGTAAGTTCAACTTCAGATTTGCACTTGCATCATGCTATCGAATTGAGTATTATTACTGCTATAATTATTGAGTATTATTAGCACAGTAAAGTGCTAAGATAAATTAGACATGTTGTTATACATGTAAGCAATGAATTAAACATTTAAAGTTTTGTTATGTATTGTCCAAACATGAATAACAGTTTCTTTTCAATTTAAACACCAGCTATACATTTTTGAAAAGTGTCTTGCTTCAAGATACCTTTCTTCTCAATCTTGTTTCAAGCTGTTTTGATGCTAAAATGTCTGTCTGCAACATCACAGTTAAAAATTTGCCACTGGTGATGAACTTAGGTTGATTTATTGTTTGGGCACTACTGATATACAAGGCTAAAACTTTACCAGTATATTCTGATATAGCAGTTATGGTTTCCCCCAGAACTGATTTTTTTTTTTATGCTTAAGAGTTTTTAATAAAATAGTAAGAAAGAAGTTTTCTTATTTTGTTTGTTTGTATTTGAAGGTACTTGCAACAGACATGTCTAAGCATATGAATCTATTGGCTGATTTAAAAACTATGGTTGAAACCAAAAAAGTGACCAGTTCTGGTGTCCTACTTCTTGATAACTATTCAGACAGGATTCAGGTAAGAAAGTTCATCTGAAAATGATCACTTGCATGACCTTACGTCATCAATAACATTTGCCTGCCCAGCATGGGTTAGACCAACTGTTCCCTTACACACTTCATGACTCTTTCTCTTCTGTACTCTTCTTCATCTGTGTTTTTCACATATGCCGTATTCTGTTAAGTACTGAGTGACTTTCTGAGAGAGTAATGAGGTGGTAAAGCACTTTGTTTTCTGGATGTAGTTTGGCTTTGACTCACCCTTCAAACTTACCTGCCTGTTTGGTCTTTCCCTCGAATATTTTCTACCTCTTACACAGACAGAAGCTGCAGAAGTGAGATAACTCATGGCTATTAATGCAAGTGCAAAAACCACCCCCACACATAAATTTTTGCTGTTTAGAATAAATTTTGCACTGCATGTATTTTCAAATCTGTTTCACAGCTATCTAATGTGTAAGTGGAAAGAGCTTTTTTTTTCTCTAGTGTAATAACACACCAGGTGCTCAATAGATATGCTTTCATCTATTTTAGGTTCTTCAGAATATGGTGCACTGTGCAGATCTAAGCAATCCAACCAAGCCACTCCATCTCTACCGCCAGTGGACAGACAGAATAATGGAGGAATTCTTCCGTCAAGGAGATAGAGAAAGAGAGAGGGGAATGGAGATTAGTCCCATGTGTGATAAGCACAATGCATCAGTAGAAAAATCACAGGTAATTGATTTGAATACCAGTCCAATGACATGGTGTGACATTTTAATAGAAAAGGACAGCCATTTTATTTTGATGAATTTCTGAATGTAGATTTCTTCTTTTTTTTTCCATCTGGTTAATTCAGTGTCTGAGCAGAGGGTGCAGGGCATTTTCTTACCATAAAAACGTAGGGCATAGCAGTGTGTTTGCTGAAGGGATTTCATCCCTGTAGTTACCTCCAACGAAGCATATGTTTCAGAAAAGAACATATATCTGCATGTAAATATTTCCTTCAAAAGCACAATTAAATATAAAACAGCTGTTTGGCTCAGTAGATGCAGTGGAGTTGTTTGGAATGAACAGTTCATTTGAAGACAAATCCTTTCCAAGTCCTTACCCAGTATCCTGAATCAGACTTTTGAAATGCCAAAAGAATCCTTTTTCTCCATAGAACAGCATGGGTGCCTTTCAGATGCCTTCAGGATAGTGTCTCCAATGTCTTATGACAATTCCAAGACACTTTTCTCTCTTCCTTTTTGACAGTCTATCTGTTCAGAAAAATATTTGTACAGAAAAAATAAATGTAACTTTTATACATAGTTGTTTATGAATAAAATGAATAAAATCTCATGCTAATTTTGCATTATTTCAAACAGGTGGGCTTTATAGACTACATTGTTCATCCTCTGTGGGAGACATGGGCAGATCTTGTTCACCCGGATGCCCAGGATATCCTAGATACATTGGAGGACAATCGAGAATGGTACCAGAGCACAATCCCTCAAAGTCCCTCTCCTGCACCTGATGACCAGGAAGAGGGTAGGCAGGGCCAAACGGAAAAATTCCAGTTTGAACTAACCCTGGAGGAAGATGGTGAGTCAGACACGGAAAAGGACAGTGGGAGTCAAGTAGAAGAAGACACCAGCTGCAGTGATTCCAAGACTCTTTGCACCCAGGATTCAGAATCCACTGAAATTCCTCTTGATGAGCAAGTAGGGGAAGAGGTGGAAGAGGAGGAGAACCAGACAGAACCCTGTGTAGTAGAAGACCGTTCTCCTGATACGTAACGATGAAAATGCAGTCTCTTTCTCTCTGGCCCTCTCCCATTCTCTTTCCCTTTCTCTCTGTCGTTTTTCTTTTTAATTAGAAAAGGTTTCCAAAGTGTATGTCATGTGATATAACCATGCTCACAACTCGCTGTCATCTGCCAGGACGTTTGTCGATCAAAACTGACCTTGATGACTCAGTTTGGCACTCAGGAATATTGTAACCAGAATTTTCACCTCCATGGCATCAGAAAGCAGGGGGAAGAACATGCATAAACTACATTTTAACAAGTTCTCCATTTGGCAGATTTGGTTAAATAAAGCAAATGTTTTCAGAGGAGTACCACCTGACAACTGAAGGCTGGTATGCTTTGATAGCTTTTGATTTCGTTTTATTTCAAAAGCAAAGCATTGCGAAATATTCATCATCAGAGGAAACAGAAAATAAACTGAGGTTCCTACTGGAAAACAAATGCACATAAGTGATGGGACACAACATGAATCTGTTACCAATAGGAAGATGAGCTGTGGAAATTGCATAATTTTCTAATTTCAAGTCTTCCTGATATATGACTGAAAAAAAGTGCGACCCAGTGGGTTGCACTAACCTCTGCATTTTGTATAATATGTAAAAGAGATCTTTTGTAGAGCTTACTTTTATTATTAAATGTATTGAGGTATTATATTTAAAGAAAAACACTTTCAGACTTCATCTGTCACTGTTTTGGGTTTTTTTTTTCCGAAGAGTAACTTGCAAGTTTTCAGTACAAATCTGTGCTACACTGGATAATAGTTCTGTTTTTTTTTTTCTTTCCTTCAGTTTTGCACCTTAGAATTTCATGGTAATATTGAGCTGTAAAATTCTAGTATTTTACATATTAGTGACTTCCATGAATATCCTGTATGTTACATAAAACTCTTTCAGTATGATGGCATCTATTCTTTAGATTTTATTATACTTTTTTTTTCCAGACATATCAGAAGAACTTAGTTGTGTTGATCTTGCCAGTTTTATCTTTCTTACTTTCAAAACTAAGCTTTACATACGTAGTCTGATCAAAACTAATTGGATCATTAAGATTAGGATTTGCAGGCCTAAAGCCAGTAAAAAAAAAAAAAAAAAAAGCTGATGAATTGTGGGTTTTTTTTTTTTAATATAAAAACAGTTCTTCTGTTGATTAATAAAATTAATCCCTCTCAAACATCATTTTCAGTATATTTTTAGCTGGGAGCTATAGATTGCTGAGTTAGAACAGACTCATTCAATCTGTGGAATATTTGTTTTGGCAAAAAACCATCAGCAAAGAAGCATGTAGTATTTCCAGTTTTGCCTCCCTTACTAACTTTTTATCAATGTCAGATGTCTAGTTAAACCATTGACTAATCTGAGATAATAGTGATTTGTATTGTTTTATTCTTGCCCAAGGGGCAGTCTTTTCCTTATGTTTTTTTTATGTTTTTTTGTCTTTTTAAATATATTTTATTTGCCCTATGTTTTTAAGTAAATGAGCAATGCTTCATGAGTGTCGTAGTTTACTCCACGTTGTTTCAGTTCAGCTGTTTGCAACTCGACTTGTGCTGAGGAAATCGTGCTTTTAAGTTTGATTGGTACTAAAGCTTTTGTAGCGTGGAAAGTTAAAGAGAGTTAGGAGTTCCTATTTGTCATTTTGCACTCCTGTTGAAAAGTCTCAAGAAACTAGAAGGAATTTTATCTGCTCTGTTTGACCCTTCATTAAAATTGCAGTTTTATGTGCAAATAAACAATTGCCTAGAGAAGTCAGCAGACTCCCACAGCGTAACATTCTGGTAAAACGGCAAGTTAAAGATGATCTCTTAAAAAACAAAACAGAAACAACCATTATTTCACCTGCTTATATTTTTAGTAAGTTTGTGGATATGAATAGGTGTCTGTTTTAGTGTTTGAGATCTATAACAAAAAACCTATTTAAAACCTCTTGGCTAATAGTTCAGCTTTTAAATGCCTTTCGCCTTCTTCTATATACAACTCATAGACGCCTCTACCTTTAGCCCTCAAAGGGCCTTAGCACAGAAGATACTGAAGGAGGAAAGAAAATGAAGAGAACTCTTCTTTTTTTTTTTTTTTTTTCATTTTTTGACTTCTTTTGTTCTTATCGTTTCTCCCTGAACCTGAACCCATCTAAAAATCCTTTCAGTCCCCCAGAGTGCCTGGAACCTTAATAATGGAAAAGCAATATAAATTCCAAAATAATCAATAGGGACCTGAAAAGGTTTTGTATCTGCACTAATTGAAAGTGAATAAAGAGAATAACACCATATTGTGAGATATACACCCATACATATGGACAATCAAATAATAGAAAATTATATCATTTCTTAAAGCCAGGGATATAATGCACTGTACAATCTTTTGTTTTTCCTCTTTTGCCAAAGTGTGTTTTTGCATTGCACACTGCTTTAAAACAATACAACTTACAAGTGGCTTTATGTGTTCTAAGTATTTTTCCCAATAGAAAATGCAATGAGTTGGGTATTGAGTGGGGAAAATAGAAAATTCATGTTGCTTACAGTACACTTTACCTTGCAAGTTACTGTACCTAATAATGCTGTATTTGAACTTTAAATTGTTTTGTGTCATTGTTTCAAAAAACTATAATGGAAGAATACAGGAGAACAAATAGCATTCAGAAGCTTAAGAAACTTGAATGGTATGGATTTTACAGAAAGCTTTGACAATTCTTTTAAAATGCATTATTTATTTTATTTGTGCCATGCATTTTTCTCACCAAATGACCTTACCTGTAATACAGTCTTGTTTGTCTCTGTTTACAACCATGTATTTATTGTACTGTACATACTGTAATGTTAATTGTAAATTATCAGTTCTTATTATAACATCATCCTTGTCAGGGTGGTGTTGCTATATTTGGAAACTCTTGGTGAGAGAATGATTATTGTGTATACATATTCCTTGTACATTTTTTCTCCTGTAATATATTCTATGTCACCTTAGAGCTTGTTTATGGAAGATTCAAGAAAAGTATAAAATACATAAAGATATATCAATAAAAAAGCTGCAGGTCTTTGGTCCCAGGGCTGTGCCTTAACTTTAAACAATATTTTCTTCTGTTTTGCTGCATTTGAAAGTAAGGTAGCTGTGGGGCTAGGGCTGGGCATTCCTGCCATATTTTTAGTTGCTGATTGATGGGATAACTAGTACAAGCCAGTGTGTATATATATATTGCAATGAGCTTTCATACATGGCCCCACTGGAAGATCCAGCTTTTCCAGACTTCTGGCAATATAATTGAATTGCCTTTTTGATTTTTTTTTTTTTTTTTTTTTTGCAGACTATCGTCAGGGATTATTGCAGCTGTTCCTTGCTACTGAAAAAGTGATGCTGTGTTTCAGTAGAGTTTTACTGAGACTATATAGCCAGCATCTCTAATAAGCATTTGATTCTAATGCACATTGGCAAATGAAGTAATTGGATTAAAAAGGTTTAATTTATGTATTTTGTTCTTTTACAATTATCCTTAATATGCCTTCTTTATTTAGTAACATCAGTGATCACTGCATAAGCAGAACCCACAAAGAAGGACAAAAGACAACCATAATCTTGCTTTCCAGCACTGATATTAGTGTTACAAGCAGCCAAAGCTTTTATTTTGTATAGATGTATCTAAGGCTTTGTACAGGTGTGTATAGCAAAATGCACTAGGTCTACAGGAGAAAGGTAAACCTTTAGATCTTTTAATAACACTAGTATTAGTTTTGCAAGCTGGACCTGAGGGTCTTTTGCGGTTTGAGTATCACATTGCTCTGGAGCACACGGAACTCGCCGTAGCAGTGAATTTGCTGGTGTGAGGTCAGCACTCTTCCCCATCCTAGTGATGCCCAGCCCTTGTAGCATGCGACTCTTCAGTGAAAGGAGAGATTCTTTTTCAAGGAAAAACAGAGCCTCCTTTTTGACACAAACTGTAGATTTTAGCAGCCCTGGCCCAAAGGAATTTGATTGCTTTTGTTTTAAACAGTATAAAAGGGACACTATAACGACAGAAATCCTGAACAATTTTTGTTATTGTTTTAATTTGATTTTTCCTTTGGGTATGTCTTGAGAGTGGCAACTTGTGTGAACATTGCACATGATGATTCTTTCACTGGTTTCTTAGCCTCTCTTACAGCCTATGGGATAGTACTGTACATCAATACCTTCATATGAAATTTTTATATGCAATGGAAATAAAAGCATGGGTTGATTCTGCCTAGTTACTGTACTTCATTTTCTTTTGCAAGGTAAAACGTTTATACACACATGCCATAGTTGTGACCCCTTAAGAGTAGTTAGATTACTGTATTTTTGTTACCCTGTTGTGCTTTGGACAGATAATCATAAGTGTGGGGTTAAATCAGAAAAGTCAATCAAGTGAAACATTTTCATTAAGAAAGTCTAATCCAGAAAGGTGCTACACAGATGCATAGAAAAGCCATTGTTCTCAGGTCCGGGGAAATTTTGCCATTGACTTCTGTGGCAGCAGAAGAAAACATAATCTCATTTGAGAAAATGAGAAAATAATCCCATTTGTACAAGAACTAGGAGACAATAGTTTGCCTAAAAGAGCAGTACACTGGGATACTACAAAAAAAAAAAAAAAAAATTAAAAAAAAAAAAAAAAAAAAAAAAAAAAAAAAAAAAAAAAAAAAAAAAAAAAAAAAAAAGAATGGCATTGTTAAATATTCACTAGACAATCTCTGTTCTAATTGGATGTTAAGCAGTTGGTCTGTAAAATACATCTTCCTGTTAATTCAAGTGTTGGAGGGTTGGTTAGTTGCTTAAGTAAACATACAGTTGGATTGAATACAAAAAAATCTCTTTTTTTTTAATCTCCTTCAGGCTCTTAGATTCTTCTTTGGATCTGGAGATCAATTTGCTAGTAAGGACTACCAACCCTAATACTCCTCTTTAAGCAGACACAGGGGCAGTGTCTGCAAATGTGGCAAGTCTCTGAAGGTGACAGCAGCACCCTGAGCACTGGGGCTGAAGAACCGGATGGCACCTGCTATTTTAGGCACTCTGATCCTCATATTTTCCCAGCAGTCTTAATTAGGAGATGTTTTGCATAAGGGGAAGGAAGAACCCCAAATTCTCGTTGGTGCTATTAAAAGCTTTTCAGTAAGCAGCTTG